GAAATTATCCCAACCTTGATATTCTCTTATTAAAATTTCCCCTCTGTTTAAACAGCTGCACAGTTTTTTCCAAAAGTCCTGGAAATATACTTTCAATATTCTAATTATAAATTAAATTTTTGGAAAGTTTTGGTAGATAATTTGGCATCTAAGGGTATTTTGAGTCATTAAATTTCACACGGGACCCTGATCTAAACTGAAAACAAAAAATTCTTCTCTTATTTTTTATCATTTAAGCAAACTGTGAACCAGGCAAACTATATATTCAGGATCCTTTTTTGCAACTTGCTGTTGTAGAAGCCCAGGCAAGGCCTTTGAATTTGTTTTCTCATCTATGAAATGTGTAATTCAACTTGCAGACTTTTTAAAGTCACTCTGCATCTGAAGAATCTCTGATTTTATGATGTAGGTACCACTCTCAAAGCTCTCCTTGATAAAGACCTACGTTATATTCATTTTTACACAGATCTGCCAGTTTAAAATCTGACACAATCCAACATTCTAGAGCCTGAAACATTGATGCTCTATTAAGATCGATTTATCAGATGAATGTAGACTCAGATAAAGTTCTGTAAGATACTGGCTCTAAAATCTTGGCTCAGCATTTCAAGATGGTATGCCTATAGCTCCGAACTTGGATGTAATGAAACGTGAAAACAGTCTCATTTTAGCATGGAAGGAAATCAGCTTTCTCGTCAGAAGGAAAGATTTTTCAATTCAGTTTTAACTGGTAATTTTCCTTTGGGGGAGCTTGAAGAGCTATAGTGGTTAAAGGAATAAACTATCAAATAACAATACTATTCATGAATAATTACCCAGCAGGGGGAGATAGGAGGATTCTAACTTTTACCTTTAGAGGTCTGACTGATTTGAGAGGATACCTATAGTGGGGGACTTGTGATCTAGGATACAGCAGTAGTTGCTGACAGAAAAGAGGGGGGAATAAGCAAATATCATCAAGGCACGCACGTTGGGTTTTATTTAAGGAAATGTCTCCTTGTGTAGGCAGTGATGTGTTTAAGAGTGAGACATTTCCTTTTACTTGTTTCTATTTTAAGTGATTGCTTTGACAGGTCTTTGAAGGAAAAAAAAATCATTTTCTATCCTGCAGATTCAGTAACTGCCCTTAAATGTCAGATCATGTCACATTTTCAGTGGAGACAACATTGTGATTTGCTTGCATGGTGATCTACCAGTCAGTGATGGCTAAAACTAATGACCTTGGATTATCGGGGTACCGTGCAAGGCAGCCACTAATTAATTATTTGTCATAATCTCCCAGGGAGGAAATTACTAATGTTATTACTTAGTACATCCTTTGCATTTACACTAGCAGAGTGCTGAAAAATTCATTTGTGGCCCTGAAGAAATAACCATTTGTGCTGTTCTTAGCAGGAAGCAAGGAAGCAGCCCCAAGAGCACCTGTGTCCACTCGGGGACATAGTCAGGGCCTCAAGCTCTATGTGCTGTGGCAGGCTTGTAGGCTACGTTGCTTTCAATTTTCAGCTGAATAATAGAATGACTATGTCAGAGGCATTTTTAATATATTATTCTAATCTCCAGAGATTGCAGTTAGTAAGCAACAAATTAATTCAATTATAAAACTGCCCCTCAAAAAAAAAATCTTTTAATGTAGCACTTTCACTTGGAAGGCATATTCAACAAGCAGACTTGGAAAATATTAAATGTGCTCTGGCAGTTGTAGGGAA